TGTAGCCCACGTCGTTGTCAGAACACCACCTGGACACCCAGCGGTTAAACCACGACATACGGCTAAACATGTCATCGCTGGTCAGGTTGGGACAACAGAGGAGACACAGAGGACAACAGGTGAGATTTGTAACCTGGTAGCAGGTGAGGCAGATCCAGTTCTCAGCCTCCGAGCCGCAGTCCTTACATGGCAGAGAGATGTTTATACCTGAGGAGGGAAGGGGTCTAACAGCGTCCAGGTGAGGACACCAGGGCAGAGGATCCACCACGTACAGAATGCTCTGAGGACAGACAGACAGATGGACAGGTTGGACACCACACCTTGCTCGTCATTCGAGTTATCAGTAACAGGTGATCAATATTTACTGACTCCATCCACTTCATCTCCACTTTTCACCTCTAGAGACACCTGAGACTTTGACCAGCCACACGCTCCATCTGCTTCTGGCTCCGCTTCTTCTTCATCAGAGCTCTGAGACAAACGAAGTGGACAAATTTGTTCAGGTGAACAGGTAAAGCTGAGTCAGAGACAGGAAGTCAGATTTACTCAGGTACACAGATGGTGGCTGTGTCTCTTACTCACCTGAGGTAACATACTCTCTGTGGCTTGGCTGTCTTCTGACTTTGCCTTTATAAGCTTCTCATTCTTGTCAGAACTCAGACAGTTCTTGGCTCCGCCCACTAGGGAGGAGACAGCACGTGGTGCCTGATTGGTTGAAGACTGACTGATGTCCAAAGTGGCCAATCCCTGTGTAAGCTGGTCCAGACTGTTCTCCACCTGATTGGATGAGAAATATGTTTTATGTGTGTTTCACATGTGTCTAACGTGTTTCACATGCATTTAACATGTTTTATATGTGTCTAACGTATTTCATGTGTTAGTGAATTTCACATGTCAAACATGTTTCACATAAGTTAGCATGTTTCACATGTATCCAACGTGTTTCACATGTGTCTATGATCTGTGTTTGATCCTGTATGCTCCACACTGGTTAGTCGTCATTATCTGCATCGTTTTTATGTCTATATTCTGATTTACCTCATTTTGTATTTTGCTTTGTGTGTTACCTGTTGTTCTGTCTGTACAGCACTTTTGGTTGGCCTTGTAGCTGTTTTAAGGGCTTTTTAAATAAAGTGGT